GGACAGTGGAGTGGTGTTTTGGACAGTAGAGTGGTGTTTTGGACAGTGGAGTGGTGTTTTTTGGACAGTGGGAGAAGGTGGGTATCTTTTATAGTCTTTACAGGGAGATTGTTTTTTTATTTAGAGCCTTAATTGAGCTACAGAGTTGCCTTTAAGCTAAAACCCATTGCTTTACCCTGCCCAGCCTTCGAAGTCTAATCTAATATAGAATTCCCCCATCCATATGCTTGTATACCTCTCCATGACAGCAGTGGGCTTCTTCAGTCTTACAGTTCGGGGAAGACCCCTTTCTGTTCCAGCTTGACTGTGCCCCTGTGTATAGAGCCAGCTCCATAGAAACATGGTTTGACCAGCTTGGTATGTGTAAGCTCAAATGTCTTTCCAGAGCCCTAACGTTATCCCTACTAGACACCTTTTGACTGCCAGCCAGGTTTTCTTGTCCAACATCAGTATCTGACCTCACAAATACTCTTTTGACTGCAACTCCATATGTATGTCCATGATTTTGGAATAATATATCCCACAAGTTCACTAAGGTATTATGGGTAGGTGTACCCAGGGGCGGACTGACCATTTGGAAACTCGGGCACTGCCCGAGGGCCCGGGGTCAGTAGGGGGCCCCATGAGATGCCCCTGGTACCTTTTTCATAGGCTTTTTTGAGTTTGGGCAAGGACACAGGGGCCCCATGATCCCCTATTGCCCGGGTGCCCCATGAGTTGTCAGTCCGCCCCTGGGTGTACCCAAACCTTTTTACTCATATAGTATATAATACCATGTAGTGTTTAATCTGTTGAAGCAAAAGCCATTTTTGTCATGAATAGATTTTCTTAAAGAAAAATGTCTTCTCTGCCCATCCTGACAAAAAAAAAAGCTAAGAAGGGAAGTTAAGGTTGATATACACTTACATTATATAACCAGGTGTGGACTGCCCACCATTACATACTGTGGGCAGGCAGGCGCTCTGCACTGGTTCTCGTACATGTACGTGATCCAGCATTTCCAGGTAGGAGGTGCATCAACTGCCCTAACTGTGCTGTCATTCGGTACAGCAAAGGTCGGTCAGCAGGTCCCGGCCAATGATTTATGGCCATGACCTGCTTATTGGCTTATCTAATCACAGTGCAGAGACCTGTGTTTAGTAAAAACACAGGGCTCTGTACACAGAACAATGATGTGGCTGTTTGTTTTCCCCCTGCAAAGCAGGGAGAAAAAACAACCACGTCTCTTAGTAAAAGCAGTACATATTTCACACATTCCACATTGTTAGGCACACAATTGATTGTCCTAGATGCTAACCCCTTCCCAGCCAGTGTCATTAGTACAGAGACAGTGTATAGTATTATCACTGATCACTGTACTAGTGTCAGTGTCAGATAGTCAGTTCCCACCCAGTGTCAGTTAATGTCAAATTGCCCGTCGCACAGTCACAGCTCCACTATAAGTCGTTGATCACCGCCATTACTAGTATAAAATATAAATATACATTTAAAGATTTCAGTATATATACCATCGTTTATAGACGCTATAATTTTCACACAAAAAATCAACATATACATGTTTTTTTTTGTTTTTTTATGTGTTTTGTTTTATCAAAGACTTGTAGCAGAATACATTTTGGCTTAAATTTATGAAGAAATTTGATTTTTAAAATTCTTTATTGGATATGTTTTATAGCAAGGCCGGGCTATAGTTTAAAAAAAAAAACTATGAACAAATGCGGACACAGTACAGGAGATGACCAGAGACTGCGAACAGTACAGGAGATGACCAGAGACTGCGGACATAGTACAGGAGATGACCAGAGACTGCGGACACAGTACAGGAGATGACCAGAGACTGCGGACACAGTACAGGAGATGACCAGAGACTGCGGACACAGTACAGGAGATGACCAGAGACTGCGGACACAGTACAGGAGATGACCAGAGACTGCGGACACAGTACAGGAGATGACCAGAGACTGCAGACACAGTACAGGAGATGACCAGAGACTGCAGACACAGTACAGGAGATGACCAGAGACTGCGGACACAGTACAGGAGATGACCAGAGACTGCGGACACAGTACAGGAGATGACCAGAGACTGCAGACACAGTACAGGAGATGACCAGAGACTGCGGACACAGTGCAGGGGATGACCAGAGACTGCGGACACAGTGCAGGAGATGACCAGAGACTGCAGGCACAGTACAGGAGATGACCAGAGACTGCGGACATAGTACATGAGATGGTGCCCCATCATTAGTGTCAGTGTGTGAGGAATAGTGCCCCATCATTGGTGTCAGTGGGAGGAATAGTGCCCCATCATTGGTGTCAGTGGGAGGAATAGTACCCCATCATTGGTGTCAGTGGAATAGTGCCCCTTCATTGGTGTCAGTGGGAGGAAAAGTGCACTATTCCACACACACTGACACTAATGATGGGGCACTATTACTCCCACTGACACCAATTATACTTACATCGCCGCGCCACCCCCCTGAAAAGTGCCGCCCTAGGCAAATGCTTGTTTGCCTCATGGCAAATATGCCCCTAGGACAAGTGAGGGGCAGTGGGAAAGGGGGCATGGGACAGTATCGAGGCAACTGGACATGAGGAGCATAGAGGGGCAGATGGACAGGAGGAGCGCAGTGGGACAGGTGAGGGGCAGATGGACAGGAGGAGCACGGAGGGACAGGTGGGGGGCAGTGGGGACAGATGGGTGGTAGTGGGACAATGTGGGGGACAGGAGGGGGAAGTGGGACTGGTGTGGGGGCAGGGTGACATGTGGGGGCAGTGTGACGGATGGGGGGCAATGGGACGGGGGAGGGAAGTAGAACAGGTGGGGGGCAGTGTATTAGGGGACAGTGAGACAGGACTGAGGGAGCACCAGTCCTCCAAGCACTTACATGTCCAGCAGCGGCTCCTCCAGATGGTGTCAGGATCATTCCAGGACGGATGCCTGTGTCCCTTCTCCCCCTCGATCTCCGGCGGCGGCTGCAAAGGAGTGAGCCGGCTCCACCCCCCTGATCTCATCCTCTTCTGCTTCCTCCTTCTGGCCTTCACCTGGATACCGGCACACTGACAGCGGGCCCCCGCCCCTCACGCACTCCGAGCGCACTTCGGGGATCTGCCCACCACTCCGCTCTCCTCTGCAGCCGGTCCCTCAGCCATGGCAGTCCTGCCCCTGTATATTTCCCACGGACGTGTCTCTTCCATGGGAAAAGGGGGGGGGGGCGGCAAATACGCCCCTGGTCCCTTGCCTCGCGGCAGATACGCCCCTGCCCTGCGGGCCGGATAAATGTCCTCGGCGGGCAGCATGTGGCCCGTGGGCCATAGTTTGAGGACCCCTGGTTTACATAATATAAAAGAATGATCATCAAGCACCGTTAAAAGAAATTGCTATTTATGTGAAAAATTAATGATATAAATTTCATGTGGGTACAGTGTTGCACGACCAAGCAATTGTCAGTTAAAGTAGTGCAGAGCCAAATAGCAAAAAATGCCCTGGTCATGAAGGGGGTAAAATCTTCCAGAGCTTAAGTGGTTATTGCCAATTGTTTTTTCTATTTATTATTCATTTGTATAAAGTAGGTTAGTACTTTTGTTTAAAATCCTTTGTTTAATGCGACATGCTAACTGCTTTTATAGGAATCTGGAAATTTTCTTAACAGATGACTAGAAGTGAAATCACATACCTGCTGATGTTGATCCTTCTGCACTGACATCTGTAATAAAACCATAAGATATTTTTATGATTAAAATGAATTTGGAAAAAGGTCAATATAATCAAAGTCTTAATTACATATTTATTATGATTCTTTTAATTTTATATAATTCAGAATATGCAAAACATCCAAAGTAATTGACTTTTCCTGGACATATAGACATAGTGATGTTTCTGGACAACAAAGTAAATTCATAAAATCCAAACGTTTATTATAAAAATGTTAAAAAAGTATATAGCACCATATCCAGTGTTTGCAAAGTGAAGTTCACAAATCTTGTTTTAATTCTACATCCCCCATGTTAGCTCAATGCGTGTTAAATTCTTCAGACATCTTCATCAGGAGCACATGTGAACAGTATCCATATATGAAAACCCAGTAATGTAAAAATCAACATTTTCCACACAGGTTTACAAACATGTGACAGATATAATTGCAAGGTACATCATTCCAGGTCTTTTCCCAGTGACATGCCCAGAACTTACAGTATATTGCATGATCAAAGCACAATCCACCACAGGAACTGCATATTAACCACTTGCCTACCAGGCACTTATACCCCTTATTTACCAGGCCAATTTTCAGCTTTCAGCGCTGCCGCACTTTGATTGACAATTGCACGGTCATGCAACATTGTACCCATATGAAATTTTGATAATTTTTTTCTCACAAATAGAGCTTTCTTTTGGTGGTATTTAATCGCCACTGGGCGCTTTACTTTTTGCGCTATAAATAAAAAAAGTGCAAAAAAATTTGAAAAAAAAAAAAGTTTCTTTGTTTCTATTATAAAAATTTTCAAACAGGTAATTTTTCTCCTTCATTGATGTGCGTTGATGAGGCAGCACTGATGGGCACTGATAGGCGGCACTGATGGGCACTGATAGGCAGCACTAAAGGGCACTGATAGGCAGTACTAATGAGGTGGCACGGATAGGCGGCACTGATAGACAGCACTAATGAGGTGTCACGGATAGGCGGCACTAATATGCAGCACTGATAGGCGGCACTGATAGGTGACACTGATGATGGGTACTGATAGACGGCACTGACTGGCATCACTGCTGGGCACTGACTGGCATCACTGCTGGGCACTGACTGGCGGCACTGACTGGCACAACCGCTGGACACTGACTGGTGGCACTGACTGGCAGCACTGCTGGGCTGCACTGGTGGGTGGCACTGGTGAGCAGCACTGGTGGGTGGGCACAGGTGGGTGGCACTGGTGGGCACAGGTGGGTGGCACTGGTGGGCACAGGTGGGTGGCACTGCTGGGCACAGGTAGGTGGCACTTCTG